TCCCTGTGTCCATGTGTTCTCATTGTTCAACACCCGCCTATGAGTGAGAACATGCGGCGTTTGATCTTCTGCTCTTCTGTCAGTTTGCTGAGAATGATGGTTTCCAGGTTCATCCATGTCCCTACAGATAGTTCATTCTCTTATAAGAAGCAGATTGATTTGTTACTATTAATAGAAGCCAGAAAGCAGTACCACTGAACAAAATTAATTCTCCTTACTTTTATGCTTGCAGGTTTTACCTTTGAAGTCCAGAACATTCCAGACTTTCTAGATCACACAGATAATAAGGTAGTCTGTTCAAAGATTAGTTTGAAAACTTAGGAGAAAATATGAGATCAGCTGCTCTCTAAATCTAAATACACCACTAAGAGTAGTGATTTCAGTAATGTATTAAATAATAATTTGTTCAGGAAAAATGCAGTGTAAAAACCATACCCTGAAAGGACTAAAAGGACAAACACGATGGCAGTGAGTTCCATGCTCACCAATTACCCATTCAGGCCCTACATTGTGGCCACACACCACGTAAATATGTGCCACAATGATGTCCTCCGTGCCGGCTGGTGGTTGGCGCAGCCACAGGTTCAGTTCCAACTTCAACTTCAAAGCAGGGTGCTGGGTTTTGTTGTTTCTACGGTCACACATTACAACCTTACCTCCAAATCTCACATTCCAAGACCCATGCAACAGTTTAGGTCACCAAAAAAAAAAACTAAAAAAAAGTCTATCACTTGAAAAGCAATCAAAATGTGGCCGTGTGCAGTGGCTCACGCTTGTAATCCTAGCACTTTTGGGAGGCCAAGGCAGGTGGACCACCTGAGGTCAGAAGTTCGAGACCAGACTGGTCAACATGGTAAAACCCCGTCTCTACTGAAAATACAAAATTAGCAGGGCATGGTGGTACATGCCTGTAATCCCAGCTACTCAGGAGGCTGAGGCAGGAGAACTGCTTGAACCTAGGAGGCAGAGACTGCGGTGAGCTGAGGTCATGCCACTGCACTCCAGCCTCGGCAACAAGAGCAAAACTCCGTCTCAAAAAAAAGAAAAAAGAAAAGCAATAAAAATTCCATGCCCTATCAGTGTAGCTACTGGAAACCTTGGGGCACTTACTCTTTAGCAGATAATGTGCTAATCGCTTTAAATGGATTGCTTGATTTAACCTTCACAATAACTCTATCAAGTAGGTATTACTCTGACTCCATTTTACAGGCAAACAAACAGAGGTATGATTAAGTTAGGGCTGTGCTCCTAGATAACTGGCGAAAGTGGCAAAACTAGGGTTTGAAGTCAAGCAGTTGGGCTCTACGGTCTGCGCTCTTAACATTCTCCCAAGACGCACTAATTTAGTTCACATTGACAATGAAAAAATATAGCCTGAGAAAGCACTGTGCCTCAAAACTTTGATGCAAAAAGAAAAAAAACAAACAAAATTCATGATATTAAAAAGGAAAACTCAGCAGAGCGCGGTGGCTCACGCCTGTAATTCCAGCTCCTTGAGAGGCCAAGGTAGGCGGATCAGGAGGTCGGGAGTTCGAGACCAGCCTAGCCAACATGGTGAAACCCCATCTCTACTAAAAATACAAAAATTAGCTGGGTACAGTGGCAGGCACCTGTAATCCCAGCTACCCGGGAGGCTGAGGCAAGAGAATTGGTTGAACCCAGGAGGCAGAGGTTGCAGTGAGCTGAAACTGCACCATTGCACTCCAGCCTGGACAACAGAGTGAGACTCCGTTTCAAAAAAAAGAAAAGGAAAAATCTAGCAATGTCTTCTTTTTACCTCAGCCCCTCTTTATCACCTAGCATAGTGCCTGACACGTAATAGGTGTACAAAGCATTTACCAAAGAGAGAAAGGGCATAATCACGTCTAAAGAGAACCAAGATTGAAGTAGTACAATCATGAGGGATTTTACCCTTCCTACAGCACATACTTATACAAAGCCACTTACATAAGATGACACGTGCCTTCTGACAAAGGGAATTTTTTTCTCTCTTCCTGAGGTACAGCGTGCAAAATGCAGTTAAAAGTCTTCAAGGCCTTTTTGGAATTGAGAAGGCATTACATGGAGAAGGAACAAAACAGAGACATATGTACAATCTTTTCTAAGGTTTCCAGAGCTGCTGTTATCTGTTTTGTTATCTGCAACTCACCTCCTGTTGAATCAAATGATTTCCAGTCTTTTCTGTCACCAGGAATCCTAAGCTAAGTAGGAAGGAATCCAGCATCTGAATTTTCCCTGAAAGTATAATTTCAAAGAATCAAACTTATGTTTCAAAGAGTAAGAAAATGACTCCTACACACGGTCACAGCTTTTGGTTGTTTGAGGATGTCCTTCTGGCTTTAATACAATGTAACTCACCTTGCAGGTTATGCCCTTTACAATCCTGTTGCCTTCTGTTATTAAGGGTTGTGAGCATGTGCACACATGCATACGCACTTTTTTTTTTTGAGATGGAGTCTTACTCTGTCGTCCAGGCTAGAGTGCAGTGGCACAATCTCTGCTCACTGCAACCTCCACCTCCTAGGTTCAAGCAGTTCTCCTGCCTCAGCCTCCTGAGTAGCTGGGACAGCAGGTGCGTGCCACCATGCCCAGCTAATTTTTCGTATCTTTAGTAGAGATGGGGTTTCACTGTGTTAGCCAGGATGGTCTCGATCTCCTACCTCGACACACATTTATTTTACATGGTTTTTGGTGACTTATTTTGAAACCAAATCTTACTTTAGCTCAGGAAAATTAATTCTTTGATACTTTTATTACAGCAGACTTTCTCAACTTTGGCAATATTGACATTTTGAGCCAGGTAATTCTTCTAAGAAGAACTTGAGAACTGCTGTCAAAATGCAGGGGGAAAAATGAGTGAGGGAAAGATGCACAGGAGGATAAAAACAAAGATGTGACAGATAATCTTACAAAGAGGGAAGAGAAAGTAACTGTAATGGACTTCTTGGTGGCCCGCCCACCATCCTTCCCCGCTCCTGTTATGGAGAAGTTGTACTATTTGGGTGAGACCCATCAGTTCTAGGGGCAAATCCCGACTGGCTTCAACTAGGCAGAGGCAGCCCACATTTATCTTTTCATAGTGACTGGTTCATTTGGAGGGCAGGACATCCAATCAGAGGAAAGCCAGGGCTTTTGTTTTCCGGTTGAAGGAAGTGAACCTTTCTCCCCAAGGTGTGAACCTGGAAGCACAAAGTTCTGGTTGCAACCACCAAGGGAAACCACCTTGAGAGCAAGGACTAGACTCTGAGAGAGCCAGAGCTGAAAGAGCTGTAGAGACGGAGTGGAGCCACTCCATTTCCAAACTGCCCGCCTCTGGACTTTTTAGTTCCTTGAGCCAGTAAATCGTCTTTATCATTTAAGCCTATTTGAACTATAGCTTCTGTTAAACATATCCAAAGCACTCTACCTCAGTAGCTGTCAACTAGAGATGATTTTGCCCCACGGGGGACACTTCTCAATGTCTGGAGATGTTTTTGGCTGTCAAGACTTGGGGGTGAATGCTGTTGGCATCTAGAGGGTAGAGGCCAGGGATGCCACCAAACACCCTCTGATGTACAGGATAGCACCCATGACAAAGAATTACCTGGTTCAAGATGTCTATATTGCCAAAATTGAGGAACTCTGTTGTAATAAAAGTATCAAAGAATGAATTTCCTGAGCTAAAGTAAGATTTGGCTTCAAAATAAGTCATCAAGAACCATGTAAAATAAACATGCTTTCAACCCTTAATATCAGAAGATAATGCAACAGGATTGTAAGGGGCATAGCCTGCAAAGTGAGAGTAGCATTGTATAAACGCCAGAAAGACATCTTCAAACGAAGAAAAGCTCTGACCATGTCCCTCCCCACACCCTAATAATACTCTTAGGTTTATTCAACACATTCAGTTTGTTGTCTTATACAAAAAAAAAAAAATAATTTTGATGTTAGTACTGAAGAGTAACTACCAGTAAAATAAAAGTAGGGCATAAGCCATTCAAATCACGAGAGACAAACTGAAAGACAGTCATAATCCACATAGCAGAACACAAAAGAATCATAAAAAAAATCAATAAGACGACGTAAGTTTCAGAACAAAAAGGGAGGAGTGATTAATTTTGTCAATTGCAGAAGGAGGTGGGAAGAAATTCAGTAAAAAATATTTCTACTTTGGAGAGAGGGATTAGACATTAGCTCGGCAGAGCCGGGGCATAAAAGTCACCCAAGACAACTGTCAAAGCCACATGTGAAAACCTGGCAGTTGCAAAGAGGTCAGCCCTGCTAAGGTGACCAGAGTGGGCTCTAAGAACAAATCGTCATTGCTATAGATGGGACTATGTCCCCCCAAAATTCATATGTTGGAGCCTTAACCCTCAATGTAACGGTATTTGAGATGGGGCCTTTGGTAAGGGAAGTCTAGATAAGGTCACAAGGGTGGGATCCTCATGATGGGATGAGTGCCCTTTTAAGAGCTCTGGCTCGGTCCCAGCATGGTGGCTCATACCTGTAATCCCAGCACTTTGGGAGGCTGAGGTGGGTGGATCACCTGGGGTCAGGAGTTCAAGACCAGCCTGGCCAAACACAGTGAAACTTGTCTCTACTAAAATTCAAAAATTAGCCAGGCATGGTAGCACATGCTTGTAATCCCAGCTATTCAGGAGGCTGAGGCAGAAGAATAGCTTGAACCCTGAAGGCAGAGGTTGCAGTGAGCTGAGCAACAGAGAGAGACTCTCTCAAAAACAAAACAAAACAAAAAAACCAACCAACCAACCTCTGGCTCTCTGTCTACCTTATAAGCCCACAGCAAGAAGCCAGGTCTCTGCCCACCATGTAGGCACACAGCAAGAAGCCAGGAAGAGGCCATCACCAGAACCCAACCATGCTGGTACTCTAATCTCTTAGTTCTAACTTCCAGAAATAAATGTCTGTTGTTTTAGCCTCCTTATCGATGGTATTTGGTTATAGCGACCTAATTGAACTAACACAGCCATCTAAACCAGAGTCTCCCCTGCCATGGGCAATGAAAGTCATTATATAGGATTACATGAATCTATAAATGCACCAAGCAATGACTGTAGACTGAATAGATGGCTCACTTGTGCACTGTTTTTCAAATATGCAGTATATACATATTGTTGGGATTAATAAAAAGCAAGCTTATTTTAAAATGCTACAAAAATCAAAGTACATTTTTACCATTGTGCATTTTATCAACCAGTTTTAAAGACAGTAACTATCATTCTGGTGTTCATAAAACTTTGACTTGAAAATATTTGGAGCCACTGACTTGAATTATGAGGACCAACCGAGTCAACCAAGTTTTAAAGTCAACCAAGCCCAGTGCGTGCCTCAGCTTCCGGTACTGAATTTCCTCAACTTGCAGAATGTAGTGTCAATTCATGACAGCCTTACAGAAGAAAACCAAAAACATGTACCATAGGAAAAAGACTTATCAAGATGGCTCCAATTTCCAAAATGTTTCAATATTTAAGTGCGTCTTTGAATCCATGGTATAATTCGAATGTCAAATAACTTTTTTTTTTTTTTTGAGACAAGATCTTGCTGTCACCCAGGCTGGATGGAGTGGCATGATCATGACTCACTGCAGCCTCAAACTCTGGGGCTCAAGTGATTCTCCCACCTCAGCCTCCCAGGCAGCTGGGACTACAGGTGCACACCAGCACACCTCGATAATTTTTTGTAGAGATGGGGGTCTCACTAGGTTCCCTGGGCTATTGTTAAACTTCTGGATGCCATCATCCCTCCCTCCTCAGCCTCTGAAAGTGTTTGAATTACAGCCGTGAACCACTGCACCCAGCATAATTACCTTTAACTTGAGCTATATTGAACAAAATCAATCTAGCCTCCAAAGTTTCTAAAATTTTACCTTTCACACTCTTGAAAGACAAAAAAAGCATGTGAATCAGCTCCAAGTTAAATCAGTAGTAGCTAAATTTTGCATATTTGAATAACAAAAATGGCTTTCTATTACCTGAACAGAGCTAGCCATATGTCAAGAGCAGCTAAATAAAAATGTTTCTCAGGGCTGGGTGTGGCGGCTCGCAGCTATAATGCCAGTACTCTGAGAAGCCAAGCCGGTGGATCATCTGAGGTCAGGAGTTTGACACCAGACTAACATGGTGAAACCCCGTCTCTACTAAATACAAAAAATTAGCCGGGTATGGTGGCACATGCCTGTAATCCCAGCTACTTGGGAGGCTGAGGCAGGAGAATCACTTGAACTCAGGAGGCAGAGGTTGCAGTGAGCCAAGACTGAGCAATTGCACTCTAGCCTGGGCAACAAGAATGAAACTCCATCTCAAAAAAAAAGGCCAGGCATGGTGGCTCACACCTGCAATCCCAGCATTTTGGAAGGCTGAAGTGGGCAGAACACAAGGTCAGGAGACCAAGACTATCCTAGCTAACACAGTGAAATCCTGTCTTTACTAAAAGTACAAAACATTAGCTGGGTGTCGTGGCATACACCTGTAGTCCCAGCTGCTTGGGAGGCTGAGGCAGGAGAATTGCTTAAACTAGTGAGGCGGAGGTTGCAGTGAGCTGAGATTGTGCCACTGCACTCCAGCCTGGGTGACAGAGCAAGATTCCGTCTCAAAACAAAAAATCTTCTCAGAAAAAAAGACTTTTTCCTACAATGAAATGCATTTCCAAATGACACTATGATGACCATAAAGTGGTCGATAAATCCAAATCCAATGTTTAAACTCACTTTTATTTTTACATATCATTTAAATATTCTTTTCTCTGTGCCAGAATATCCTATTAATGAGAAATTCATAGCCAATTAGTAGCCAACAATATACTTACCTTCACTACTACTCTTGGAAATAATCTAATAAAAAGAAAGAAAAAATAAAGCCCGTATTATTTTAAAACAGCATGACAAACTATAACATGAATGTATTAGTGTTAACTTTCTGTAATAGGCAGGTATTGGCTTTACAGAAGAATTTTAGAGAAAGCCTAGTTGAGTCTTAATCACATCCTTAAATACGCATATCACTCTCAATCAGGTGACTAATATATTATTTGTATGTATGAAAATAAATCACCTCTCATTTTTAACATCGTTTATATATAGCTTCTTACTATGTCATATTTAATAATAGTCTAATAATAAAACACGAGAGTTTTTTTTTTTTGAGACAGAGTTTCACTCTTGTTAAAACTCAGGTTGGCGTGCAATCACATGGTCTTGGCTCACTGCAACCTCTGCCTCCTGGGTTCAAGCAACTCTCCTGCCTCAGCCTCTGAAGTAGCTGGGATTACAGGCACCCACCACTACACCCGGCCAATTTCTGTATTTCAGTAGAGACAGGGTTTCATCACGTTGGCCAGGCTGGTCTCGAACTCCTGACCTCAGGTGATCCACCCGACTTGCCTCCCAAAGTGCTGGGATTACAGGCGTGAGCCACCACACCCGGCCACATGACAGTCTTTTGACAAAACTTGCGTATCAGAGAAAACCATGTTTTATAAATAACTTGAAGATTCCTGCCAATTACTAGTGGTATTTGCTCAGTGAAGCATCCATCCCCTCCTTACCAACGCTGTGTCGAAGAAGTCTTCTATAACACGAATCAGTGATGCGTCTGAGGCTAAGGCTTCTGAGGTCAGAATTCCTGTTGTTCTTTCAAACCAGAAAACTAGGTACACAGGAGAACACTAATGTAACTACATAAGACTAAAGGCTGCCTATTCAATAAAATTTCACAAGACAATTTTCTCATTAGAAGAAAATAATCTTAAAGATCTTTTTCCATTCCATTCCATTCCATTCCAATGAAGCCTGACTCTGAGGCTTCCTACCCAGAACACTTCGGGATGGTGCCATACTACTACAGAGCTGTGGTAAGTAAGCTCTCGAAGATCAGCAGGAAACAGAGACCCAGCCAGGATGCCAGAAAGCCATATAAAGGGACTAGTGAGGAACATTTAAGAGATAAATGAGGCCAGGCATGGTGGCTCACATCTGTAATCCCAGAACTTTGGGAGGCTGAGGCAGGGGGATCGCTTGAGGCCAGGAGTTCAAGACCAGCATGGGAAATTCATCTCTGCTGGGCATGGTGGTGCACACCTCTAGTTCCAACTACTTGGGAGGCTGAGGTGTGAGGATCACTTGAGCCCAGGAGGTCAACACTATAGAAAGCGCTGTGATCACATCACTGCACTCCAGCCTGGGTGACAGAGAAAG